TCTGTGGGGGGAGAAGGGAGGATTTAAACCCTGAGATTATTTTCATTTCCTTCAGTATGTCTGGATCTGTTTCATCCAAGATTAGCACATTGGAGTCTCTTTCCAATAAGCAACATTAAATAGATGTTTCACGAATTCTTTGAGGATTAAGTTTATTATAATCTCCTCTATAATATTCATATTAAAATATACAGAATAAAATTATTCTGTCAATTAGGTGCTTCTAGAGAAGACTTTTTCTAGAGAATTTAACTCTTTCTGGGTGTTCTATTCTCACTAACTCAGTTTAACTTTTCTAAGATTTTTAATTCTCTCATTCTACCCGAACAAAAAAGAGTAAGTCTATCATCCAAAAGGAGTTACTACATCATCCAAAATTATAGCCTTCGGGGAAATAATGGATGTCTCAAGAAAAAACATCCTCTTTTAGGATAGTTGGGGGACATGGCTAGGGTGGAGCTAGAGAATAACATGTAATCAAAGAATACCTATAGTCATCTTCAGGGGAAATGAAATACACCCAAACTTAGTGTTTATAGACATTAACTGTTCTTAATCTATATTATTTTCACACCTGTTCTTAATCCATATTATTTTCCACTAAAAAATCCAGATGACTTAAACCATTACTAATTTTGAATATCAAATGTCTTCACAGCATCAATAAAATTGTTTTGATGTAATAATCCTTTTCTATGCTGCCACGTATGTACCAGAAGCCTAACTGCTACCCTCTGCTTTGCCTCTTCTGAGCTCATTTGTGGGAAGCTTTTATAAAGGGCAACTACAGTCAGTCAAACATGTTGTCACCACAATTGCACAGCTGCGGTAGCTTTGCTCACTTTTCTATTAATAACATTACTTGTTATTTATAAGCAGGACATTGTAATTGTGTTGATTTCATTAGTCTCTTCATATGGCTTCTTTTAGGGTTTTTAAAAGTGAACAGCTGGTTTTTACAAACATTTATTAAATAATTATGATTCAAAAATTTAGCTCCAAAATCTAAAACTTTGCTTAAGTTTTACTTGGCAATGACAGTGGGCATAAATTATGCAAGATGTGATATGTGACAGGTGCAACGTGCTGATAAAATATCCTTTTTATTTCTGCTGTGAGGGTAGAAAATTATTAATCCCATCTGGAATACTAATCAAAAGAAAGAAGTGCTTTAAATGGTGATTCTAATGATTTACTAGAATTAAATTGCATTTGAAAAATCTGATGGAGTCATGGATTAACAAAAATTAGCTTTTTTAGATGAACTAGGGCAATCAGAACAAAATTACTTCTGCCACTTTAAAACCTGTTACTTTTCGAAATCCTCAATAAATATATTCTGCCTTTCCCTGAGGCATTGTGTCTCAGTTAAAAATTCATCTACCCTCCCCTTCAATATCTGTTATTATTTCCATTGCTCACCAGATGTCTCTCTGAAGCTCAAACAGCTATACCATGCATTAGATTCTAGAAGCTTGACTGTGAACATAGGTCCATCTAATAATATTAGAGAATGTGAATAATTAACTGGATTATCTTTTTTATTCTTTATAAATCAACAGCAATATATTTTGGTGGTTTACGACAAACATGTTATTGAGTTAATCCATTAGATTATAACAAAAACCTACTTGCTCAACTGTAGCAAAGTGAGAGTGCTACATTCTAGTATCACGTCTGCAATCTCCTAGCTTTATGAGAGTGGGCAAGTTACAAGAAGTTATTGGTTTAAATGAATGGATCACTATTTGATCTGTAAGATGAAAAATCACCAACCACTATAAGAATAAGGGAGTTTCTCTTGCCAAAATATATATTCCAATCTTACTTTTCAGCTCTATTATGTAGTATGAGGATAAAGAAGGAACTCTAAAAGAAATGCTTCAAAAAATTACTTCTTAGCAGTTGATTAAAAAGACTCTAACTAACTAGAAGTATCTAGTCACCACAATCACCAGATCTCCTTCCTTCAAGTCACCCAGGAACATCTGTTCCTTGTAACTCATAGTAGACAGATGCTTCTGGTCTTAAACAGGGAGGGAGGCACTTTAATTTCCTTATCAAAATCACAAAAGAGCAAGTTATATCACTAATTTGTGGAAAAGATGATCATATATTCCTTTTCTGTCACCAAGAAGATGAGCACATATATTACATATTTCTAAAACTCCCAGGTAGTTTTTGATGCAGTTGGGACAAAAAGTAACGTAGAAGTCTCTTCATCTTAATACGTACCAGGTTATATAAAACTATTTTAAATTTAAGTCTATATTTAAAATATTACAATACAAAACATTATGAGGAAACTTCAGTAAATTTTTTTATTAAAAAGATTAGTTCATACAGAATAACATGCCACCAATTTAAAGTGTTCAAAAAGGCAAATAAAGAAAATAATGAATGATTTGATACAAAACAGATAAAGGAAATGAATTGTCTGTTCACATGAAAAAAATAAAAACATATGAAAAGATATTGAACCTCACTAATAATTTGAATAATCAAATTAAAACAATGAGGTTTATGTTTTATTTATAAAACTAGAAAAGACATTTTAAGCAGTTTGATAATTTACTGTGAAAGGATGTGGAGGAAAAAAATAAGCACTCTCATACACTGTTGATATAAGTGTAAATTACAAAAACATTTTATGAAGGTAAGTTTACAGTATTTATCAAAGTAAAAAAATGTCTGCTCTCTTTGCTACATATGTTCCCATTGTTAGAAATTCACTTTATAGAAACATCTACAAAATAATGACAAAATATTTGTATGAACAATCATTGCAGCAGTTTTTATGGGAAAATATAAACAACCTAAATGTCTATCAAGACTAGCTAATAAATAAATAAAGGAAAGTTCGTCCATATAATTGAATGCAATGCAATCATCAAATAGATAATGTAAATTTGAATTGCTGGTATGGAAAATGTTCCAAATATATTAAGTGGAAAAGATAAGATATGAACACTATATATTGTATAATCCCTATTGTGTAAATTTAAAAGGGCATATATTTACATGCAGGTTTAGGCATTAAATTTGGGGGGAAAGATGCACAAAAAAGATTAACAGTGATTACTTTTGAAAAGAGATATTGCAAATAAGCGTAGAGAAGTACTTTTACTTTTCTGCCATGCTATACCTTGAGAATTTTAAATACTGGCAGTTATTAGTTTTATTTATTTTAAAATGTTAATAAGGATAAACTAGGTGGTAGCCATTTTGATTGTCTTGTTTTTAGTGTTTTTTAAATAAAGGAGAGCTGTAAAGACCACTGAAAATATATTAAACAAGAATTAATTGGGCCAATGTTATTCACAAGATTCATTTTCATAATTGAGAATTGAATTCTACACTATCTGAGTAAAGTCAATGAATAAATGCAACTACGAGTTTAACATGATCCAGTGGAATTTCTGTGGTTTTCAGACAGCAATTGCAATCCAAGGACCACTAAAAAATATGCTTAAGATAAAGATTTTCTAACAATAAAGCTGTCCTATGATGGAAAAGATAGCCTAACAAAACAATACAACCTGTGTTGGCAGGGGGATGGTGGCTCACACCTGCAATCCCAGCACTTTGAGAGGCTGAGGTGGGTAGATCACTTGAGGTCAGGAGTTCGAGACCAGCCTGGCCAACAGGGTGAAACTCCATCTCTACTAAAAATACAAAAATTAGCTGGGCGGGGTGGCAGACGCCTGTGTTCCCAGCTACTAGGGAGGCTGGGGCAGGAGAATTGCGTGAACCAGGGAGGCGGAGGTTACAGTGAGCCGCTATCTCACCACTGCACTCCAGCCTGCGGGACAGAGCGAGACTCTGTCTCAGACAAAAACAAAAACAAAAACAAAAACCACTAAACTGGTGTCAATGATGTGTTTAAGCACATCCTGCTATCTCTGCCTAGAATACTGTCCCCTCTGCTTTTCCGCCTAGCTAACTCCAACCCAACTCACAAGAGCCAGCTCAAGCATCGCCTCCTCCAGGGAAGCTACCCTGATTGTCTCTCTCACCTTGTGGTTTAGATAACTGCTACTCAAAGTGTGGTTCTCAAACCCAAAACATTTTGCACAACATCCTCATGATCTGACTCTATGCCTGAGGCCTACTAAGTCTACATTTTAAACAACACTCCAGGTGATTTGTAGTCACATTAAAATTTGTGAAACAGTGGGTAAATGACAATCCTGGGTGTGCCCACATTTTCTTGTGCATACCTGCATCGTAGCATTCATTATACAGCATTTACAATTTTGTGTTCTTGTCTAAATTAGACTGCAAGATCCCTAAAGGCAAGATCTAAGATTTTTGTTGTTGTGCCATATCCATTGCACTTGGCACATTATGGACACCCTGTAAATGTTTGTTAACTGAGCAAATCAGAAAGAATGAACAAAAAGTAAACACAAAATTTAATTCCAACTTTACAGAACTCTATCAATGATATAGCAATGTAAAAATCTTAATTAGAAATGATAGAAAAAGTGATTTTAAAATATATTTTTTAAAACCACTATACTTAAATGTATGCATATCCTAGAAATATATTACAAATTATTTTTATTCTCATGAAAGAGCACATGAAATCCAGGACTATACATGAAGCATCTTATGATATTTGCCCTTTCTTCTTTTAAAAAAAGCCCACTTTCAAGTTATCATATAATATCATAAATTTAGGTGCAAGCCAGCAGCTGAAAAAACAGAAATAAACTACTTTTAGATTTCTTTTGTTTTGTTGATAACACACAAATTATGTTACTGTTTATCTTTAAGACTGCAGCTGTTGCTGGCTCTGCATCACCGTTTACTGTAATTACTGCCTTCAGATTTCTTTCTGACCCATATCCCGTTATAGGATATGCTCAGGCTAGATGAGCAACTTCTAAAATCAGCAGCAATCGTGGATGTTTGCAAAATCGTTGTGTTAGAAAACTCTTTTTCTAGTAACATGAAAATTATTTAGTATGCCTTCACCCTTTAACAAAAATCCTCACCTGGCTGTTTCTCGCCACTCAGCATCCTCACCTTCACGCCAACAAATCTCATCCAGTTCTGTGAAAAGGTCATGAGGAATGTGTTCCTCGTCATCATCCTCGGTTCCAAGAATAAACTGTACCCTCTGTGATGGGGTGTCTAAAAAATCAGAGACATGTATTACCATGAACATGTATTACCATGACCCTGAGCTTAAAATATCCCAGTCACTGCCTTCAACACCACCCCAAGCTCACACCTCCCCTGCTCCCCACTGCAACACTCATCCAAAACAAACTCAGGAACTAAAACCAAATTCATCATTACATGAAGTCCAGTATAATTTGGGAGCATAAATATATAAAATGTATATATTAATGTATACATATAATAAATAAATAAATGATTATTTTGGATTATTTTTAACACTCATGGAAGCTATTCCTATTTCTCAGACACATATACTCATTTTCTCTCATCATATATGGTATATTTTATGGGTAATATCCAGGAGAGTAGATTATGATAAAATTTATTTATAGTAAAACTATGCAGAGTGTTATTCACCAAAAAAACTCCCTTGTGATAGTCATTCCTATCTCCCTTTTGTAGCCCCCAGCAACCACTAATCTGGTCTCTTCTGCTAGCTTTGCCTTTGCAAAATGTCATGTAAGTGGAAACACAGCATATAACCTTTTGAGACTGGCTTTCTTCACTTAGCAAATGCCTTTGAGATTTTGAGATTTATCTGTGAATGTGTGTATTAGCAGTTCATTCTTTTTCATAGCTGAGTAACAGTCCATTGTAGGAACATACCACTCTTGGCTTATGCATTCACCTGCTGGAGGACATTTGGATTTCTAGCGCTTGGCAATTATAAATACAACTGCTATAAGTATTCTTGTGTAGGCTTTTGTGTAAACATAAATTTTATTTATCTAGGATAAACACCTAAAATGAGGATTGGTAGTTACACGAAAAGTGTACATTCAGCTTTATAAGACACTGCCAAACTGCTTTCCAAAATGGCTGTACCATTTTGCATTCCCAGCAGCAATGCAAGAGAGTTGCAGTTGTTCTGAATCTTCACCAGCACTTGGTATTATCAGTTGTTTTGTAGCCATTCTATGTAGTGATATTTCATTGTGGTGTTACTTTACATTTCTATAATGGCTATTGCTGACAATTTTTCCTAAGTTTATTTGACTTCCATATTTATTCTCTGGCAAAGTGTTTATTAAAATATTTTGCTTATTTTTATTGGCCTGTTTGTTCCTTACTGTTGAGTTTTGAGACTTCTTTATACATTCTGGATACACGACATTTTTTGAACGTATGATTTGCAACATTTGTCTTTTTTCCCCATTTATAGTTTGTCTTTATATTCTTTTAGCAGTGTCTTTCATTGAGGAAAAGTTTCAAATTTTGATAAATTCTAATTTGTGTGTGGGTGTTATAGATTATGCTTTTGGTATTAAATTTGAAAACTCTCTGCCTAAATTAAAGGTCACAAAGATTTTCTTTTATGTTTTCTTCTGAAGTTTTGTATATTATATTTTACATCTTGGAGCTATGGTCCATTTTGAGTTAATTTTGGTATAAGATATGAGGTTTAATTCACGGTGGTTTTTTAAATTTTTTGCATATGGATGTTAAATTGTTCCAATATCATACCATTTATGGAAAAGACCCAAATAAAAGACACAGAAAAAGTGTATTCTTCATGCTTTGTGCTGTTTTCAAAAATCAATTAGCTACATTTGTTTGGACTATTTTTCTGGACATTCTAATATGTTCCATTGATCTAGGCCTATATTTCAGTCAGTCCAGGATACTATTAACAAAGTACCATAGATTGAGTGGCTTATAAACAACAGAAATTTGTTTCTTGCATTTCTGAAGGCTGGATGTCTGAAATCAGTGTGCCAGTGTGATTAGGTTCTAGTGAAGGCCTTATTCTGGGTTGCAAACTGCTGTTTTCTCCTTGTAATATCACATGGTGGAAAAGGCTGAGAGAGTTCTCTGAGGTTCATTTTATAAGGCACTAATCCCAATCATGAGGGCTTTACCCTCATGACCTAATTTCACCTCAAATGCCCAATCTCCTAATACCATCATATTGGGGTTGGAATATCAGCATATGAGTTTTGGGGAAACACAAACATTTAGTTCATTGCTTTGTCTATTCCTTTGACAATACCACACTTTCTTGATTACTATGACTTTAGAGTAATTCTTCAAGTCAGATGGTATGAGTCTCCCAAATTTGCTCTTCTTTTTCAAAACTGTTTGGCTATTCTAATCTTTTTGCCTTTCTATACACATTTTAGAACAAGTTTTTCTGTATCTACAAAATTCCTGCTTGGAATTTGATTGAAATTGCATTAAATCTATGGATCAATTTAGGGAGAACAGTATCTTACCTGTAATGATTTTTTCCAATCCATGGAAACTACATGTATCTTTATTTATTTAGTTCTTTCATTTCAAAACATTAATTTCATCAGGTTTTATAATTTCCAGAACACAGATTTTATACCTGCTTTGTTAAATTTATACCTGCTTTGTTAAATTTATACCTAGATATTTCATTTCTTGAGGTTATTATATTTTTTAATTTATTTCCAATTTTTAATGCTAGTATAAAGAAATGTTATTTAAATGTGACCTTGGATCCTTCAACCCTATTAAACTTACTTATTATTTCTAAAATTTTTTTTTGTAGATTCCATGGAATTTTCCAGGTAGACGATCATGTCATCTGTGAATATGAACGGTTTTATTTTTTCCTTTCCAAACTCTTTATTTATTTATTGTACTAGATAGAATTACAGTACAATATTAAGTGGCAGTGGTGAGAGTGACCATGCTTACTTTGTTCCTGGTGGCAGGGGGAAAACAGCCTTTTATGAATAAGTATGATGTTAGTTTCCCTTCATCTGAGAATGCCTTTATTTAACCTTCATGCCTAAAGGATAAGTCACTGGATATAGAATCCTGGACTAAATATTCTTTCAGCATTCTCAAATGCTATTGCACTTCCTTTTAGTCTTCATGTTTCTTAATGAGAAATCTGCAATCATTGGGATCATTGTTCCATTTTTCTCTATCTACTATTAGAATCTTTTCTTTGTTTTTAGTTTTCAGAAGCTTGGTTATGATACTTTTGAATAATTTTGGGATTTGGGGCTTTGTTTTGGTGTTTGTTTATTTTAGCATCTATCCTTGTTTATTTTAGCATTTATCCTTTGGGAACCCTGAGCTTCTTGAATGTGTAAGTTTATGGGTTTTTTTTTCCAGAAATTAATTCTTTCTTTCTTTCTCTTCTCTCTTCTTTCTTTCTTTCTTTCTTTCTTTCTTTCTTTCTTTCTTTCTTTCTTTCT